AGGCCAGACAGCCGGACGGTGGACAGCCCTCCGGGGCCGGGGAGGGGAGCCGCAGCCTGTCGGGCCCCAGGTAAGAGCTCTGGCCACTGGGCTCACCCTCTGACTGCACTGGGGGCGTGTTGTGTGGGCTGATTCTCTGTCGAGGTGTTCCCACGGGCCCTCGGGGGTGGGGGGTGGAGGGGTGGCAGGGCCTCCTGGGCACGGTGGCGACATCCCGCCCAGAAATGTCCCCATTGGCCCCTGAGGACACAGGTGCCTTTCAGGTGGTGGCAGTGCCGCTCCCCCCCCCCTCGTCCGCTGCGTGGCCCATCCTGGCCCTGGTGTGACCAGCGTGTGGGTGGGCTGGACGGTGGTGATGGGCGTGGCTTTGTCGTTGCTGCCCCGAGGGTGCCCACCTGACCACTCGGCCACTCGCCCCCGTGGGCTGCACTGACCCTCAGTGAGGTGTGGGCCCCGGGCCGCCTGGGTGCTGGGACCACCCGAGATCCTCAGGGGGTGCTCTGGGCGCTGCCCTCCCTCCAGGTGCTCCTCTCCCCCGAGGCCCTGACCCATGGGCCCCAGCGCCTGGGCACCTCTGCGGACTCGAGGTGTCTTGGGTCCCTGGCTCCCCTCCCCCGACTTATCCAGACAAAGCAGATCACCCGGCCGTGCCCGCTCCACCCTTGACATGGGGCAGCGGAGGGGCGGGGTTCGCCTCGGTGGTTCCCACGGGGCCGTGGGTGTGTTGTCACCACCGGCAGGTCTCTCACCCGGACCCTGCCTGCAGGGCGCCCACCTGGCCTCGGCCGTGACCACCAGTGGGTGCTCAGCCTGGAGGCTGGATGAGGCCCTCTGTCAGGAGCCGTGGGAGATGGGTACAGAGAGGTGGTCGGCAGGGTGGACCGGGGAGGGGTCTTCACACCAGGGGGAGGGATCGTCACACCGGGGGAGGGGCCTCCACATCAGGGGGAGGGGCCTTCACACCACGGGGAGGGATCGTCACACCAAGGGGAGGGGTCTGTGGGTATAGGGCTCTGTGCTCTGCCTCCTCCTCTCTGGCCTCGTCCTCCCAGCACAGGTCTGAGGAGCTGGCTGGGACCCTGTGGTGTTGGGGCCGCTGCTGCTCTCTCCTCCGCGCCGAGTCCCCATGTTTGCGGCTGGACCCCATAGCCCGTGTGCCCACGACTGCCTTTCCTGGGTGGGGCCTCAGTCACTCCCCACCCCTCCCCCAGCCCTGGGTACTTCCTGGCTCCATAGATTGGCTTGTTCCGGACACTTCACATAAACAGAATCACACAATAAGTGACCTTTGGTGTCTGGCTTTTTAAAAAGTGCATCTTCATTGTT